TACATTTTATTGCTTTATTATATCTGCCCCTTCGGCCTTGTTTAGACAATTTTTTACCACTGTACAAATACCTCTTCCTAGAGTTATTTGTACGGTGTGTTTACCTTTTTTTTAGAATGGGACGAACTGTAAATAATTCTTAGGCTACTAGTTTTATACATACCTATATAACAGAGTGACTGAGGCCTCCAAAAAGCTTTTTACCTATTACTACTAGCTGCTCTTGCCATCTAGCACTCGCCATAGTAGTACGTTTTGTATTCAAATGCTATTTTCTGCTTTTATGCTTTTCGTTTGTCGGATTGAGGGACGCCAAAGCAAAGTCGGTCTGACGATGGAGATAAATCTCCGAAACCGGTCGTCGAATGGCTGTTCCCTTCAGTCTGATGAACTTAATGCAGAGAATAAGCATATATGTAGGGGTTAGACCTTAATAATTTTTTGCTTCTTGTATTTTGTTTATTTATACAAACCCTACCAAGCCTTGAGCTCCATCTGCGGTAACGTAGATGAAGCAAACGTAATTCATTATTATGCGACAGAAATCCCATACTGTAGCACACAGGTTTGATACTTTTAATGAATTAATTTTCAATTTTTTCATTAAATATTGATTTTAGGTATAGGAAGTTATTAATAATACAAGATTAAACAACTATTACACAGTACTTCACAGGCAGCTATCGATTGCGAACTAACTAAATCGTTACTAATTACTAATTTTGAAGTTCTTTTTAAGATCAAAAATGGTAAAACTAAAACCTAAACTATCATTTGAGATTAAACGGGAAATTCTAAATAATGTTGCCTATTCTAAACAAGAAAAATTTATTTATAAGTTTTACAACATCTCTAATTAAATTTGGACGAAAAGAATATTTCTGTTTGCTATAGATAATTTTCTTAGGGAAAATACGAAAATAAAAATGACTTTTTAAGTCAAAAACAGTCAAAAGGACAAGTTATTCCAAAAAAGGACTGTCCTTTTCAAAAAAGGACAGGTGGCAACCCTAGGTATTTCTGGAATGGAAATTTAATGGCAAATCTACAACTTTAGTTTGAAAATATGTTCCGACCACCTATGTTTACAAAAATGTCTAAAATGTGCTTTACCATTGCCTCCATATTCTGAAAAAAAATTGAAAGAAAAGTCACCAACCACAAACCTAATTAGAACTGTTTCGGAAGCCTGAGTCACCCTGTGAATATTCAAAAGTAACTGAAAGTTTATATAGAAGTAACTGAAAGTTTAAATTGAAAATCGACGTTGGAGCGATTTTCGAAAACCACCTACTAACGTTTCAACATAGGTATACGTGGGATATTAATTATATTATTATATTAGACCTTATAACAAAACTCATCTGATGAAAAATTTAAAACTTTTTTTTTTTTTTAATTTACTTTTACTTTACTAATTAAATGCTTTCCAAAAAACGATACGCCACTGGCCATTAGAACAATCGAAATGCGCCTAGTTGCCGGGGTCGGAAATGTTAGACTTATCTGTCTCTTCTGTCCTTGTTTGACACATTGGAATGTTTGATACACTACCAACGAGTATTTATGAATGAGATGTTCGGTCTATTTTTATAATGTCTTTGCTTGTAGGCTATGGCGGACTCAAAACCGCTTTTTTTCTCGACTTTCTTTCTCTTTCTTCAAAAATAATTATGCACGCCGCTGCCGCGAGCAGAACCTCTTTCTCGCCAAAACGATTCATGATTACGAAAACTATAATGTGGACGGCTCCCGGTTTTTTAGCATGTGATATGCAGCTTGTTAAAGAGGGTCCACATTTAGTAACATGTTATATAACATTGCTATTTAACAAGCTACATGTAACATGTTAAAAAACCGGGAGCCGTCCACATTATAGTTTTCGTAGTCATGAATCGTTTTGGCGAGAAAGAGGTTCAGCTCGCAGCAGCGGCGTGCGTAATTATTTTTGAACTAAGGGAAGAAAGTCGAGAAAAAGCGGTTTTGAGTCCGCCATAGCCTACCAGCAAGATCTAGATACAGTTGAACTCAATTAGCTTATCTTTCCAATACTTGCCTCGGCTGTTTCTCGTGGTGTCGTCTGTCTTTTAAAAACATTAATAATTTACAGTACGTCTCGTCTCCTGGATCTGTGTCTATGAAAGGAATGCGGACAAAAAACATTTAAATAAACAGCAATATATTCTATACGTCGATTTGACGAGTGCGTCACCGCAAATCGCTCCGCCCACCTCATTTTATTGGCTACTTGCAAATTTGTCGAATTTTTATTGATGGGACGCGTCGTCTATTTTTACGAAACACATCGAGAGAATATCGTTTCCCCTCTCACGGATACCCTGTAGCTACAGAACGGACAGACGTACTGTAAAAGCAAAAGCAAACCATTTTGAATTATCCACTTCATCTAAACCATGCAGTTCCTGATTTGCATTTCTTTTGTTCCCGCTGGAACTGGCCTATTAGATTACGCATTATTTCTCAACTTTTCTGTTTCCAAATACATACTATGAAATGAAAATCGCTGTCATTTTATATGGAAAATTATATGGGGAATGTCATCGATCGTCATGTCCAAGCCAACTGACGGGAGGCCGACGGGACGCAGTTTTTTTCGGTCATACGGTATTATTGACCAGTAAATAAACAAACCAATATCAGCTCACCACACTAAGATTCTGTCGCGCACGTCCCTGAAAATATGAGCGGCTAAACTAGAAATTTAGCAAGTGTGGACGCGTTGTTTCATGTTACAATAGCAATGTTGCACAACATCTTTTGATCTTTACCGACTACAAATGGATAACATCTAGCAAGTTATATAGCATCGAAATTTGCTAAATATAACTAAAAAATATGTAACATGTTATATAACTTTGCTATATAGCAGTGTTATATAGCAAGTGTGGACCGTCCTTAAAGAAAAAGTTGAGAAATAATGCGTAATCTAATAGGCCAGTTCCAGCGGGAACAAAAGGAATGCAAATCAGGAACTGCATGGTTTAGATGAAGTGGATAATTCAAAATGGTTTGCTTTTGCTTTTACAGTACGTCTGTCCGTTCTGTAGCTACGGGGTATCCGTGAGAGGGGAAACGATATTCTCTCGATGTGTTTCGTAAAAAATAGACGACGCGTCCCATCAATAAAAATTCGACAAATTTGCAAGTAGCCAATAAAATGAGTGGGCGGAGCGATTTGCGGTGACGCACTCGTCAAATCGACGTATAGAATATATTGCTGTTTATTTAAATGTTTTTTGTCCGCATTCCTTTCATAGACACAGATCCAGGAGACGAGACGTACTGTAAATTATTAATGTTTTTAAAAGACAGACGACACCACGAGAAACAGCCGAGGCAAGTATTGGAAAGATAAGCTAATTGAGTTCAACTGTATCTAGATCTTGCTGGTAGGCTATGGCGGACTCAAAACCGCTTTTTTTCTCGACTTTCTTTCCCTTAGTTCAAAAATAATTACGCACGCCGCTGCTGCGAGCTGAACCTCTTTCTCGCCAAAACGATTCATGACTACGAAAACTATAATGTGGACGGCTCCCGGTTTTTTAACATGTTACATGTAGCTTGTTAAATAGCAATGTTATATAACATGTTACTAAATGTGGACCCTCCTTAACATATTATATAACTTTGCTATATAGCAAGTTATATAACAAGTCAACCAATAGTCGTCTTGGGTTTTCGTTTGTTTAGTTCCAAGCCATATTCTTCACTAATAGGGTACAGTGTAGCCATGATTTCCTGTATCTCTTCCTTGCTGGCGGCGATAATCACGGTATCATCCGTGTGTCTCAGGATATTTAACCTCCTGCCTCCACGGATATTCCATATTTCCATTCTTTCATTAGTTTATGCATACTATATTCAGTATAGGTAATAAACAGAACTGGCGAGGGACTGTCTCACACCTGGGTTAATTTTGAAACTACTCGATAACGCCCAAAAAAAAACACAACAATACGAAAACGAAAACTTTCAATAAGATTACAATGCCAAAAAAGAAAGGTGCGAAGAGTGCTTCGTACCTATACTGAAGAAGACTTAAAAAGGGTTTATTTGAAATTACGGAAAATAAAATGGCCATCAGGACTGCCAGCAAAACTTTTGAGTGTAATAAATGTTAAAAGAAGTATAATATGCTGAAATGTTGGTTATAAAATGACAGTTATGATCTGTAAGAATATTTTTCTAACAAATGTGTTCTGTAATCTAATTTTAATTTTCGTTAATGGGACCTTGATACCTAGGTACACGCCTATTGTTTATAATCGGTCGGGAACAAACTGCACTGTGGTCGAGAATTGCGGCTGATTGCTGTCATACACAGGCTAAAATGCGGTTTCTCTACATTTATTTAATTTTGTCAATAATTGTATACATAGGGTTGCCACCTGTCCTTTTTTGAAAAGGATCCTTTTTTAGAACAAATTGTTCTTTTGACTTTGTTTGACTTAAAAGTCCTTTTTATTTACGTATTTTCATTTCGACGAGTTGTAAACATAATTTCTCGATATATATAATACCTCCAAGGTTACTTTTAAATCTTTTTATATTATTTGCAACGTTGGAAATTATTTAAAAAACTATTCTGTTCGGAGTAAAAATTACTTTTTGGGCTTCGCTTATTGTAATGCCAAATGTAGAGCCTCGCCACAAAAATTATAATTTTTAATCCTAATAAAACAGTATACTATTATTTAGAATCGGGAACATTATTTAGAACTCGCCGTTTAATCTGAAATGATAGTTTAGACATTGAATATTAACAGGTTAATTTTAACCATTTTGATTTTAAAAAGAGATTTTCAAAATTAGGCCCCCCCAAACGCCTCCCTGTGCTTTTTCGTAGTCCAATACATTAAATTCAATTAAAGTCCTTTTTTCACTTTGCAAAAAGGTGACAACCCTAAGTATACATAACGTACAATTCGCAATTGTAAACATTTCTTCAGATTTCAAGCAGTCACAAAATCATATGAAAGTTAAAAGTTTGATCAAATTTATTTGCTATTTAAAATGAAAAGGTCGAAAACAGGCATGTAGATTTGTTACCTAAGATATTTATAAAATATAAAACATTTTGGTTTCTTAATTATAGTAGTTAGAATATATAATATTTGGTTTTGTCTTAATTTACTCTATTAGAAAATTTAAATAACAATTCATAAGGGCGACAAGAAAAAAATTGAAATGACTTGACTTGCATTCACCATGGATTTTTGTTGATTCGCTTTAGAATGTTTCAATATCAATAAATTCTAATCAGATGTATCTAAGAGGGTAGCAAATAATATCCAAAGGGACAATACATTTCCTGGATAGTTTTGAACAGCCACTGCTAAAGCAAATTCTTTAACTTCTTGTAACTGATTATGAACACATGTTCGCTTTATCCATTTAGTTATAAATGATATACTGGTGAAGGGTATGTTAATGCAAAACCCTTTTACCTAAAAAAACATTATTTTATATAAAATTACGTATATTACATGTATATCTACAACTAATATTATTAAACCACTAACCAAATAATGTGAAAGGGCTTTGCTGATTTCAAAAATGGATTCAGTTGTGCTTTTGCCATTCATCACAGAGTGCTCAAGTGATTTTAACGCTTCTTTTAGAGATTCAGATACCCTAGATAGAGGCAATATTCATAAATATTCATGACATATATGTATGGGGTGATTCAAGGCGATGGTATAGGTTAGACGTTGATGGAGAACCTTTAATATTTTTTTGAAAATTTGGATATTTACATAAAGTCAGCTGCTACATCTATCTAAATGATTTTCAGCATTACGTTGTTATTACCGATTCTGAATCGTACTAGAACTCTGCAGCGCATGCGCAGGTGAAATATTGCCATATATTTCCTCCTGGGTAGACGTATTACAGTAGAACCGGTAAAAAAAGGAAGCTACTTTGATAATTATTATTAGTAATTTTTAAATAGCTCTACTTAAAAAATCGAAAGGTTTAGGTATGGGAACACAATATATGAAAAGCAATTTTATTAGTCTTTTTTTATATTTAGGTGTTGAATTTAAGATAACAAAGATAAATGTTTTTATCTCTCAATATGATACCCAATTGGTTGATTTAAACCGATCTCTCTGTGATACCCAATTGGTTGATTTAAACCAATGACTAAATATTCCAAGGACAAATAACGCCCGAGAGCAAATTGTTACGATGTCACCAAACAGTGCCGTGGCACATATTTTTCTTAACATAGCTGTTTAAAGAGATATTCATATTTTTTGATAAATGTTTTGACTACGCCTATGGTGTATACGGTGGTATCATACTAATAATTAATTTCGAAAAAAAAAGTATTAAAATGTTTACAAAAGGTACAAAACTAGTATCAACATATAGCACACATCAAGTACATATAATATCAGAAAAATAATTATCGAATTCGATAAGAAAACTAAGAAAACGTTAAAAAGGTGGAGCGGGCTGTTTATTTATCTATGAAACGTAACTTCTGGCTCTTTCTTATCGCTGCGGCTTTTACACTTGAAAGCTAAATAACTGACTAATCACCATTGTAATAAAGTTTATACAAAGTTCACTACACACAAACTATCAAATATCGCTAAAATTGTCACTGGTCACTAGCTGATGAAAAAAAATGGCGTCTAATGTCACAAAATCTGCTGCAGCCCGTATATGCGCGTTACATGTCTTTATATTCTTTAGTCATTGATTTAAACAGATCGAATATATCGATTTAACCACGAGTCTACGAGAGATAGATATAGTAGTCTTTGTCTACGAGAGAGATATAGAATAGTGTGTACAACAGTAAAATTATAAAACTGGCAATAATTTTTAAAAATGTAATACATAATAATGTAATACATACACGGGTGTTCTATTTAAAATAAGGAAGATACTACTACTTTTAATACGAAACGGCAACATTGTAATGCTTAAAATAATTTAGATAGATGGAGCAGGTGCCTTTTGTAAAAATCCAAATTTTTAAAGAATTCTATCACCGGTTTTCCATAGATCTCTAACATGGTACAAAGAAAACAAGGTATGATCGATAGCGGCTCCAATTTCGTTAAGTTTGCGCAGGTTTGCGCATACCACCTGTGACGTCATACGCCATACAAAAAAATATCCATATTGTTCAATTGCCACTAATAAAAAAAGACCTAAAATAGGGAAGAATTAGGACATAACCCCAAAAGTTATGTCAAATCATCGCGCTTGACATTTGAAAAATTATTTTCACATTTTGACACAATCAAATTTCACAGATGACACAATCTGTTTGACAATTTGAAATTGGCGCGCAGAGCTTGCCGACCAATGGTGCCGTTTATCACCTGTGACGTAGTGACCAACCTGCGCAATATCATACCTTGTATTCTTTGTATCATGGATCTCTAACCAACCATAGATGTAAATCACCCTCTATATGTCGTAGGCATAATGCAAATTTTGGCTTTTTATAAAAAGGATTTACAAAAAGCTGGCAAAACAGGAGCATGCAATGCATTTTTCATTATGCCTATACCAATTCAGGAAAATTGCTAAAATGCCGGCAAAACAAGATTAGGAAAATGTATACATATACAGGATGATCCGAACTGTATTCCGCAAACTTCAGCAGCATATTCTGCAGATAAAAATAAGTAAAAAAGTTCGTATAAATATATGTCCTAAAATGGGTTAGTTTCAGAGATACAGAGTGTAGAAATTTTATTTTTATTTAGATTTTTTCTAAATAATTTCTGAGGTAATGTCAATATTTGGATGAAAATTAGTGTCTAGAAGTTTTTTGACATGAAAAATTTGATTTTGATATCAATGACTTGTAGAGGGCGCCACCTACAGATTTTTTAACTGGTTGAAAAGTAATAACTTTTCGTCCGTACCTGTATAAAACTTCTTAGTAAAAAAATATACATTTACGACGTTTTTTTTTAATCAAAAAGGTCTCTTGGTAAAAATCGCTACGAGATGGTTCTCGAGATATTTGGAATCGAAACTGTCAATAACTGTCATCATTGACATAAATTAAACATGTCGACTAAATAAGACTGAAATCATAAATTTGAAATGTCTTTGTGCCAAAACTTTTTTAACAGAAACTGTTTTATTATAATTTTTTCAAAGAAAAATTTATGATTAATTTAAAAAAATAAATCGTTCCCAAATTCGTCATTTCAGGGTGCATCCACACTATCCTAAAAACGGTGTATCGGCGTAACGGCGTAACGACCTTGAATAGATTTCCAGTAATTTTATTGGCTGAAAAATTGATCTATCAAAAATTTCAACCAATAGAATTACTGGAAATCAATTCAAGGTCGTTACGCCGATACGCTGTTTTTAGGATAGTGTGGATGCACCCTCAGTCATATCATCATCTCTACTATCCAATCAACGTGTTTATTTTTTGTCAATAATGACATGTATCAATAATGACATGTATTGACTATTACCATTCTAAATATCTTGAGAACGGTTGCTCGTAGTGATTTTTACTAAGATACATTTTTTACAGTAAAAAATCACAGAAATATATATTTTGTCACTCAGTAGTTTTATATAGGTACGGACGAAAAGTCATTACTCTCAGCGTTGCCAGAGCTGGTACATTTTGGAACCGTTTGTACCAAAGTACATTTTTTACATTTCTGGTACATTTTTTAATAGTAAACATTGATTACAACAATAATTTTTTGAAATCGGCAAATTACACTCCAAATATCGAAAGTTCAAAAAAATCGACAATTTTTCCTAATACCGCTCATCACTAATTTCGTTTTCTACATCGCCGGTATCGCCCTCTATCAAATATAAGTCAAACTATATTCTGGCGATTGTCTGTACTCTTCATACAATGTGTAGAGTGCCGTTTTCGGCTCTTCGAAATATGATGGCTGCATCGCTGATGTTACACCAATCCCGTATGTTTCTTAGCCAGGAATGTTGTTTTCTTCCTGGGCCTCGCCGTCCCTCTATTTTTCCTTGTAGAATCAGCTTAGGAATGTAATATTTGTCTCCTCTAAGGATATGGCCGAGGTATGAGACTTTCCTTTCTTTAACTATATTAAGCATTTCTCGTTCATAGCTTGCAGTTCTTAAAACTTCTTCGTTGGTTGCATATGCTGTCCATGGCACACGTAAGAATCTCCGGAGAGTCCACATTTCGAAAGCCTCGATGCGGTTCAGGGTTCTAGCCTTGAGTGACCAGGTTTCTGCGCCGTATAGTAAGAAGGGCCATATGTAGCATTTCACTACCCGTAGTCTAAGTGTTAGCGGGAGACTGCGTGCTAATAGGAAGTTTTTAAGTTTAAAAAATCATAGGTAGTGCGTCTCTAACATCCATTAAATTTGGAAGAGCATAAATTGCTATTTTTAAAGCAACCACATTTCTTTATATTCCAATGTTTACTACTAGCCTTTTAGATACATTTTTGAAAAACCTCTGAATCGTGACTGATATGCAACTGCCTCTCTGACTGTAATTAATCGATCAAGAACTTTTGTCATCAAAATCTACCGATGATTCTTGAATAGAATTTCTAAAAAAGAAAGTGTTAATAATTCCTTTAGAGATATCTACCTAGTTGTATTCACTGTCGTGAACAATTTTACAATCAAGCCGGCAGCTGACAACTTCACGTTGTGACGGCACTGCTTTTGGCAAGTTGTAAAATAACTAAAACTAATCAGTCACAACCTGATATACATTCTTCTGTTTTTATTTTGCCGGTATTTTATCAGTTTGTCCGAATTAGTGTAGTCATAACAAAAAGTGCATTCTATGCTCGCTCCCATTTTGCCGGATTTATGGTAAATTGCCTAGGAAATTTGTAAAATGTCTAAATCTGCATTACGTCTAGGACATATACAAAAACTGTTTTTCCAAAATAAGGTATCACATTTCAGGGGTATTAAGAATATTGGAAGAATAATCTATACTACCTATGATTGAAAATTGTTCTATTTCCAGGTCTCCATTTTGCAATCTTCTTTTTTAATTTTCTCTCTAATTGCCTTTCGATACTGTATGTATCTTCGATTAAAGATATAAAATTTAATTTGTTAATTGAAATGGCTGGTGCAAAAGTATCTTTGTCAAAAAGTGGCCACCAATCCGAGTTACTGCTTAAATCAAATCTTAAAAGAGCCGGATTATCGCTTCTCTGAGTGTTACCCCATACCTATTAGAATTTTTTTAAACTATACCGGGTGTTTCTCAAAAGTGGCACACCCCTGTAACTTTTTTATTTCTTCATATAAAAAAAAAACAGATTTGGTATGTTGATCTTTTATTTTTTTGGTATCCTGATTTATGTCAAGTACTAACGTACTTGAACCTCGTTTATTTATCTGAAAAAATAAAGAAGTAATAGGGGTGAGCCACTTTTAAGAAACACCCGGTATAATACGTAAATAAATATTCACAGGGGCTGCGATAATAGATAGTTAAAGCACACTACCACTTCTTACTTAGTTAAAGCACACCTCCTTTACACTAAACCACAGAAGTCTTCTCCTGTAACCACAGAAGTCTTCTCCTGTGACAACACTATGTATCTCTTGATCTTGAGAGGTAACGCAGAAACTTACAGTTGTGGTTGCATTCTCGTTTGAACAAGAGTTAAAGCAAATATTTTGACTTTAACCAGATTTTGACGTACGTAAATGCCTTAGGGCGCAAACATAGTGAGGCATGCAACTCGATGCAACTCGATGCGATGCTCGCCAAGATGCTGGCCGCGCTGTTCGCCAGGATGGTAGCTGCGATGCATCCTACGCGCACTGTTTTAAAACGGCAAATAGGTGCGCGTAGGCATACTGAAGCATTTACCATCGCCGTTTTGTTATACCAGTTTATATAAAAAGTAGTTATTAATTAATTAATTAGTATATAGGCCCTTGTTGCATTTCAGTTGATTTCAACAAATTCCGACCGCAGCGCTACAACGGCAAAAATCAGATATTATCCCTACCTATTTCACGTGGCCGTCATGTTGATCGCGTAGAATAATATTGAAATCGTGGTTTGGTTATAATATTTAAGTATTTTAGTTTTTTGTTAATGCAATTATTGAGACAAAAAAGAGATAAAACACTTAGGTACGAGGTTTGTGTGATGTAACGCTGTTTCGGGCAATAAAAAATAAATGAAAAAGAATTCGAACTAGGCGTCGTGCTGTGTTGGGACAATTTCAAATGTTAATAAAATTGCCGAAAAAATGTTAACGCGTAAAGGAGAGCGTACTTAGGGCGTTGTTGGGTGGAATTACATACATTCGATAACTCAACTTTCCCGGATATTCAACTCTCCCGAAACAAAATTTTATAGCTTCATAGATTTGATCAAAAGCAAAAATGGATTCAAGCATTTCGACGAAACCAGTGAGTAAACAAAGTGCTCGTTACATCATCAAAAAATTAAAAAGACATATAGGTACTATGAGAGGATAAAATATAATTTGCAATATTAATGGTATACTTTTTTTAATCAACTAGCGATTAAAGTACTTGCTATAAATAAATGAAGTCCATAAACTAATTTCGATTTTGAAAATAGCTACTGTCACTAGAAACTTGCCATGACAACATCAGCCCTCTTTGTTGCCATTTTATTGAAAAATTGCTCTTTATTCAAAATCTGAGCTAGATAGGTATAGGCTACCCTAATAATAGTTTGAAAGAGCATTTGAATCTGTTTCGATTTATTTTAAAAAATACAGGTTGTCGTATTTGAAATAACAAGGTTTTTATGTAAAATAAATATTTAAAATAAATCATCAATTTTTGATACCCCTGTATAAATTTAAGGGAGCAATACAATTTTTCAGTAAAGTTTATTTCTCTATCTTTAAACTCATTAGCACAATAATTAATTGTAAAAAGTAATGCACAGGGTGTTGATAATTTATTCCATTGTAGCATGCATATCTAAATATCTTTAAATATCTCAAAAGCCAAAGCTTGTAAACATATTAATATATAATAACCCTTATAATAAAGGCCTTATTTTGTGTCCAAGGATACAAATATGAAATAAAATACCGGGTGTTTCATAAGAAAAAATATAACTTTGGTGTAAATCTTAGTTCTGACATACCCTGTATATTTCAATAAAATATTTTGTTTCTACATATTTCCGTTTTCGTATAATCAACCAAGGCGAATGAGTTGCGCCACTCTGTATACAGGGTGCTACAAATTCGGGGTACGAGCATTGGTATCTCGGTAACCGTAATATATACGAACGTAGTTAAATTGGGGCAAAGTTGCGCTTTAGGATATTCACCAAGATGCCATCAATTTTTTTTTAAAAATTTCAAGGATTGTTTTTTTTTTAAAAAATTTCATGGATTTGATTTCCAAAAAAATCCGTTTTTTTGGAAAAAACGGATTTTTTTGGAAATCATTTTTATTTTTTCCTGCCGTCACTTTTTAGGAAATCAAAAAGCTAATTGCACATTCTCATTGTCACTTTATTAGGGCTATCTGATAATATTTTTAGATTTTCAAATTAGCTGAAAATTTGTGAGATACAGTGGCCAACTTAATTTTTTTAAATACGGACCTGCATTTTTTATTTCAGATTTTGAAAGAACTCGGTCTCCTGAGTACAATGATATGCCACACTTAATATTTTTATTTGTTTCGGATGTTTGAACATACTTAATTTATTTAAACTAATTTCAAGTCCGGCTCTGTTTTTTTTAAGATTTAAGGTCTGTTCCCAGAAGAATCCCGGACTAGTCAGCGCGTTTCTTATTGGTTGAAATGCGTAGAAACCTGACTAACAATCAGGTTTCTACGCATTTTAACCAATGAGAAACGTGCTGACTAGTCAGGGATTCTTCTGGGGACAGACCTTTAGTATATTTATCATTACAATATTGTCAAGGTCAAAGTGTATGTAGCGCTAAAATGTATTACTGGTTACCTGCACAACCGCAACGTGTCAAGAAAAATGACGCATCCGCCAGAAAGTAAAATACATTTTTAGGCGCCATCTTTTAATCAAGTCGACAAGTAAGCGAATCAGACAATGGAATTGTCCAGTATGAAGTAGAACGCTCTCCGAGAATTGTAGAAGTTTCGAGAAGCAGTCAATAGTGTATATAAGCTGGAGCCATCGACAACTGGAACAGTTTGAAGTTTGAATATACCGCGTTTAAATTATTACGAATCGGACAATTTGGTGAAGGAATTTTACAAATAGTTAGTTATTGTGTGTATAAAGTGAGATAATAAATTCGTTAAGTATTTTATCGTGAGTTTAAATTAGTGGACCCACGGAATCCGTAACAATTGGTGTCAGAAGTGGGATTCAAGAGGATTTTAAGAAGAAATTAAGTGGACTGGAAGGTTTTTAGACCGAATTAGAGTATTTTTATGGTTGCTACAAGGGAGCAAGCGAAGAAAATGGAGGAAGTAAGCAAATTATTGGGCGATTTTATGGAGAATATGAGAAGAGAGAAGGCAGAAGAACAAGAAAGACTCTGCAAAGAACGAGAAGAAGAGCGAGCCCGATTAGAAAGAGAAAAGGAAGAGGAAAAACTACGACGTCAACAAGAACAGGACCGGCTTGAGAACATTTTCGAAGATTTGAAAGTTCAACGACAACAAGAGAAACAAGAAGAACAGGACCGGCTTGAGAAAATTTTGGAAGATTTGAAAATTCAACGACAACAAGAAGAACAGAACCGGCTTGAGAAAATTTTCGAAGATTTGAAAATTCAACGACAACAAGACAAAGAAGAAGAACAGGACCGGCTTGAGAAAATTTTAGGTAATTTAGAAATCCGTCAAAAGAATGAATGGAGGGAAATTTTAGAAGATATAGAGACGCACCGCCACAAAGAAAGACAAGAAGATCAAAACCGTCTTAAGAAGAACTTTGAAGAACTGAAAAAAAGGCAAGAAATCCACCTTCAAGAAGCCGTAGAAGATCTGGAGGAGCGCCTTCAGCAAAAAATAGAAAGGTTGGAGATGGACCTACAGAAGACCAAGTAAGGACACCTGGCGTTCCGGGAACTGCGAACCTTAAGGCCCCGACCTACGATGGACAAACGACATGGACAATGTACCACCGTCAGTTTGAAGCAGCGGCTGCTGCCAATGGATGGACTGACCAAGAGAAAGCAGCAGCACTTGTCATCGCGCTGCGTGGCCTTGCCCTGGAACTGCTGCAAACTATTCCTACAGCCCAACAGCAGGAATACGAATCATTGGTTGCTGCATTGGACAGAAGATATGGCGATCAACATCGACGTCAACTTTACCAGGCCCAGATTAAGACACGCATGCAGAGGTCCGGAGAGAGTCTGCAGGAATTTGAAGCAGACTTACATCGGCTGGTACATCTAGCATACCCAGAAGCACCGGAAGGATTTAGGGAGGAACTCGCTGCTCAGTGCTTTATCAACTGAGGGACAACGAATTGCAGAGGGCGCTGCAAATATCCCGATTTTCTACCAGCAGCGAAGCACTGGTTAGGGCGCTGGAAATCGAAGCTGCCTTTAGCGCCATCCCTAGACCGAAGATAAGATCGGTAACGGTCGAGGAACAGCCCGGAAGTTCTCACATACGTTTGGAGGAGATGTTTAGTAAACTATGTGAGTTACTAGTGAACAAGAGTAACAACAACACCCAGACAGAGAACCATAGAAGATCCCAGGACATAAGGTGCTATAGATGTGGTAGGAATGGCCACATTAAACGGGATTGCCGCGTCCAAATGCGATCCCGTTCACCATCCAGAGAACGAAGGCACCAGGAAAACTAAAATCAGTCAATACTAAGGGGCGACTATTGACTGAGGAGAACAGAGCCCCCAGGATTTTTTCCATTAGGAGTCTAGGAAGAACCGCTGACAGTTTGGTGATCGACGGGAAAGTCAATGGAAAGGGAATTCGAATGACTGTGGATACTGGCGCTATGGTATCGTTGGTACGGGCTAACTCAGTGCAAGGGTTGAAGCTGATGCCTCCGAGAAGAAGAGTGTGTTTACGTACAGTCACGGGGGAAATGGCCGTTGTACGGGGAGAGGCTTTCATAGAACTGGAGTTAGGGAAGTTTCGGCATAGCGTTTTAGTGGCAGACATTGAAGATGATTTTATCATGGGTTTGGTTTGGTTTGGATGTGATCAGTCAACATGGTTTTTCGTTGGATCACCATAGAAACATCCTG